GATGGGTACTGTTAGCCGGTGTGTGCTGGCTATAGATGAGTACTGTGAGCTGGGTGTGTGCTGGCTATAGATGGGTACTGTTAGCCGGTGTGTGCTGGCTATAGATGGGTACTGTTAGCCGGTGTGTGCTGGCTATAGATGGGTACTGTGAGCTGGGTCTGTGCTGGTTAGGGATGGGTACTGTTAGCCGGTGTATGCTGGCTATAGATGGGTACTGTGAGCTGGGTGTGTGCTGGTTATGGATGGGTACTGTTAGCCGGTGTGTGCTGGTTATGGACAGTAAGGAGAACATGAAGCTTCTGGGTTTCTTTTTGTTACCTTCTCCCGTTCCCTCCTCTGAATCAGGCTACTTTGTTTTGTTTTATTGAGACAGTGTCTCACTTTTTGCCAAAGCTGACCTTGAACTTCTAAGTTCAAGTGATCCTCATTTCCCCAAGTAGCTCAGTCTACAGGTATTTGTCATTTTACTCAGTTCAATTTGAAATTTCTGATGGATGAATCCAAGCAAGAACTGGTTTTTCTCAGGGGTCCTCTAGGGGAGATGTGTAGGAACTAGTTTTAAAGTCTGCTTAATTTGGTTTTCATTATGCCTCTACTTCCCTTCCAACCCTCAACCCCAGGTAGGAGAAAGAAGTTTAGAAAGGAAAAGGGAACATAGACCTCTTTAGATTTAGTTCCAGCTGCTCAGAGTCTTCCGGTTCTTTGGGAAAATATTAATCTCAGGCATCAGGATGTCTAGCTATCCAGCAACAACAAACAGCAAACACAGAAGGAAGAACAAGCAGCCTTCTTCCTCCTCTGTCTCCTTGAAGCCCCTTCCTCTCTTTCTGGTCTCTGGTATTTATACTCTCCCAGAGTCCTCAAAATACTACTAACTCCAGCTGGCAAAGACCTCATCTTCTCCAAGCTGTACAAGGCTCTTGCCAGCTGACATAGACCAGCTCCCCGAGCTGCACGAGGCTGATACCAGCTGAGGATAAACTAAGGCAGTCCCATATCCCACACTTGGGATTAAAACAGAAACGTGTTTACATACCGAGTTCTTAAAGACACCTAACCCTCCACTGCAGAGGTGGCCCAGGGTTAGGAGTACTTGCAACTCTTGTAGTTCATAACTGCATGTAACTTTAGCTCCAGGGGACCCGGAGCGCTCTTCCGGCCTTCGTGGCAACTGCAGACATGTGGCACATACATTAATAAAAATAAAATGAAATAATAAATCTAAAAAAAAGAAAAAGAAAACCTTTTGAAAGAACTGGAATCCATGTCCTGGTATTGTTTACCCCAGGGAAGAGTGTAAGAGCCATCATGTAGTAACAGAACTTGCTTTGCATCAAGAGAATATGCTAGAGGAAAGGGCCCTAATTGTAGGGTCACTGAACACTTGTTAGCTGTCAAATTAGACTTTTTTCCTTTTGAGACAGAATATCACTATGTAGCACTGGCTGACATGGAACTCTTCATATCAGTGGTTCTCAACTTGTGGGTTGCAACACCTTTGGCAAGCCTCTGTCTCCAAAAATATTTACATTACAGTCCATAAGAGTAGAAAAATTACAGTTATGAAATAACAATGAAAATAATTTTATGATTGGGGGGCCACCACAGCATGAGGAACTGTATTAAAGGATCTCAACATTAGGGAGAGCCACTGCTCTACATAGACTTGGCTGGCCTTGAACTCACAGAGATCCACCTGCCTCTGCCTCCTGAGTGCTGAGATTAGAGGCTACTACTGCCCAGCCTCATTAACTTTTTGAAGCCAGCCTGGCTTAAGTTTTGACAGGTAATATAGGAGAATGGAAAACCTGGACATTGGACATGGTTAGACCTGGGTTTTCACTTATTACTAAACCTGTAACTTTAGTCAGCTAATGGAGACCTATGCTTTTTCTTCCATAAAATAGAGGCAGTTATTATTTTTTAAAATGTTCATTTTTTTGTATGTATGTGTGAGCATATGCATGCCATGGCACATGTATGGAGGTCAGAGGAAAACTTGTAGTTATCAGTTCTGTCCTAGGGATTGAACTTATGTTGTCAGGCTCAGTGGCAATGATCTTTGCCTAATGAGTCATCTCACCAGCCTGAGGCAGGTGTCTTCATAGGGTCTCTATCAGAGGGTTGGAGTAAACCCTCTGTTCCTCCAAAGTTAGGAACATGTGGAGTGCTTGGCACAGAAGAAACAGTCAGTAGCACATTAGTAGGAATACACAGCCTATTGTTAAATTTTCGTAACAGCATTTAAGAGGTAAAGTCAGGCAGAACTCTGCGATTTCAAGGCCAGCCTGATCTACATGGTGAGTTCCAGGACACTCAGTGCTATGTAGAGAAACCCTGTCTCAAAAAACTAAACAACAATAAAAAACCAAACATAAAACAGCTTTCATTTGCTCACCTCAGACCCAGAACCACTGCATCACTGCTGAACCCAGACTCTCATTTCAAAGTATTCATACACTGTAATGGATTTTTCCCTGTGACTGTCTCTTTGGTAACTACGCACGTCTTTCGTTGGTTGCTGGCTGCAGAGCTCACAGGACAAGTATTTTTGTAACCCACCGCAGCTGTGTCCTCATTCATTCATTCACTGGTGTCATTGCCCTCCTCTTCTGTTTGCAGAGCCAGAGTTGTTCATCTGCTGATTATGCTGGGCAAGGAATAGAGGAGGTGGGGGCTGTTTGTGGATTCAGTCTCAAAATAGATCACTTTTGTCTTGATAAATAATGCCAGGCATTGCAGGGAAAAGAAAGCACGTTTCCCAGAGCTGAGTTCACACCACAATTTGAATGTCTTCCAGAAAGTTGTCAACTATTTAAATCTGACTTTTAGATAATTAAATCCTTAGCTATTGTAGAGACTCAGGGTTCTGAGCAATTAAAATAGAGAGAAAGCAGTCTCATCTAGATCTTTCTTTCCACCCAATGCTTCCTTTATTTGAAGTGACCCATTTTAAAATGTGTTCTGATCACTCTAATTTCTATTCTGTTTGTCATATGAACGGATCTTTGGCCAGGAGGGAACTTTACTTTATCTGCTGTAACTTTAAGGTATGTGGCCAGTGATAGGGGAGCCAACTTGAGCTCTCTAAAAGCTCTTAGTTCCCTATTCTGGCCAGTATTAGGATAAGCATGTTATACACACACTTTATACAGTTAAAAACCTTAATTAGCTTCATTCATTTTTAATTTTCTGTATGAGTGTTTTGCTTGCATGTATGTATGTGCACAACATGTGTGCCTGGCTACCTGTTAAGGTCAGAAGAGGGCATCAGATCCCCTGGAACAGGAGAATGTAGGTGGTGGGAATCAAATCTGGGACCTCTGTAAGAACAAGTGCTCTTAGCTGCTGAGCCATCTCTTCAGCCTTCTCCATAGTCTTTTATAATAGAATGAGATGTAATTGTACTTTTGAAGATCGTTTATTCGCTTTCCCCTTTGTTCTTTCTCTTCACATCCTTTTTCATCTTTATGGTCTCACATTCTTTGAGAGACTCTTCCTAAATGTGGTATTTTCCCAATTTTAAAAACTATGTTTCTTTTATTGTTAGTGTGTATGCACGTGATGTGTGTGAGCACAGGTGTGCACAGGCATTTGGAGGTCAGAGGACAGTTTTCAGGAGTTTTAGGAGTCAAACTTTTACCCACTGTGCCATTTCACCAGCTCTCCCTCTGATGATGTACTGTTAAGTACCATTTCTTCATTTGGTAGAGGAGGTGTAGAATGGTAGAGAAATTATGGACTTTATAGTCGGAAAACTCCCAAATTCTATGCTAGCTTTGGGGAGTTACTATGTGACTTTGGGTAGATTTGATTTCAGTTTTCTACACTATAAGATAGGGTGAGTAATGCTTCCCTGTGTTGTGATTTAGACACAGGATAGGCATTCAACAAAATAAATATGGATGATTAATAGCTGCAAGAATAACCATTCCTTTTTTTTTTTATAAATAACTTTTTCCCAAACAAAACTTGATTGTGTATATTCTACCCAAGAAGATTGCTCAGCATAGAGGTCATTGGATGATATTAAGCATTTCAGTGAATCTCCTGAAGTAATAAGTAAACCTTTTGTATATCAGTGCCATTTGAGCCTTTGTCTGAGGATTTTGAACAGATCTTTAGGAAAGTCTTTAACATACGTGCTATTAATAACATATATTTTTACTTCATCATCTAATGCCCATGGTTTCTTTTAGCTGTTTAAAGTAGCACATCATTCCATCAACCCTAGAGCAAACCTATACCCCTTAGCCCTGATTCCTACTCCACCCCACTCTACAACAGTTAATTTACTGCCTTTCTCTATAGACTTGCCTACTCTATGCATTCTTTCTTTTTTGCTTTCTTTCTTATTTCGTTGTTTTTTGTTTGTTTGTTTGTTTGTTTGTTTTTGAGACAGGATTTCTCACTGTAGCCCTGCCTGTCCTGGAATTGCTCTGTAGACCAGGCTGGCCTCAAACTCAGAGATCTGCCTGCCTCTGCCTCCAGAGTGCTGGGATTAAAGGCATGTGCCACCACCCAGCTCACTCTGGATATTTCATAGAAAGGAAACCAATCATACAGTATTCAATCCTTTATGACTGGCTTGTTTATTTCACTTAATATAATGCTTTTAAAGTTCATTGTGTTTGTTACATTTTGTTTTTATTCCTTTTAAAATTCAACACAGCATTTGACAGTTAGGAGGCTTTTTAAAAAAGAAACTTTGTGGCCTGGCAAAGTGCACAAAGGACTAGGTTTGTTTTCTAGCACCATAACAAGAAAGAAAAAGAAAGAAGGGGTGGGGGAAGGAAGAGAGAAAGGGAGAAAGAAACAAAGACAGAAAGAAGCAAAGAAAGAAGTTACTGTTTTAGAATAGCTTTAGATTTACAAAAAGTGTCAATAGCACAAAGAGTTCACATAAACATTACTATTTTCTATTATTAACATTTTAGGGCCAGTGAGATGGCTCAGCAGGTAAAGATACTTGCTGTCAAGACTGACAACCTAAGTTTGCTTTCTGGGACCCATGTAGTAGAAATAGAAAACCAATTTCCTCTTTTGACCTCCACATGTTCTCTCCTGCATTAAATAAATAAATAAATACACAGAAAAATTATACTAGTGATGTAATTTTCACATGATTAATAAACAAGTATTGATATACTATTAATGAAAGTCCATACTTTATTCAGGTTTCTTTTGTATTTAACTTAATATTTTTTCTGTTCCAGGATCCATTTAGATATTACATTCCACTTAGTTATCGTATTTCCTTAGGCTAGTCTTGGCTGGGACAGTTTCTCAGATTTTTGATGTTTTTGCATAATAAGCTCTTTACATATACCTGTCAAAAGAATTGAAATTGTTACCCATGATGAGCTCTGATGGGATCTAAGGGCAGACGTTTAGGATTTGTTACCTAGTGTATAAAAAGAACTGTATACCACGTTCTTCCTCTGTAAGGCAGGACTCTGATCTTTCAGATGGGTTCTAGCAGGGCAGAGGAAGATTAACATTTTGGTTGCCTCCTTTCATCAGTATTGTTTTCTCACATGTGGTAGCATGATTCTTTCAGTGGCTATTGGGAGAGCCAGCATGCTATGAGAGGCATAGCCTTTGGAGTGAGACAGTCTTCTCCGTCTCTTATTAGCTGTAACTTTTAAAAAAGAAAACCACTCTGGGCTTTAGTTGCCTTTAGTTGCAAAAGTGTTTGAGAATTTAGGAATATTTAGGAAAGTCCCTTTTAACTATGCTGTGACTGGTAGATGTATATTTGTTGGTTGATGTTAGAAAAAAAATATATCAAATTATAAAAGGGAAACAGGATGAAAAATTGTGGGAAGGGTTCTAGTTTTGTTTTTTTTTTTTCTTTTAGAGCATTTTCTCTAGCAAGCAGAGTAAGAGAAAAGGACCTTGGTTTGTTTGCATGTTAGGTGTTTGCTAGATAAGAATCCTTTGGTACTTTTTGGGTTGTATACTGTGGGTTTGCCTTACGAGACAAGGTGCTTGGTGTTCTGAAGGGTAAGGTCCTCACATGACTGCTTTCTTGTAGGTGCTAGGCCTGTGGAACGATACTCTATGTAAGCAAGCCTTTTCCCTTCTAAGGTAAGGATATTATTGACAAATACAGCTAACTATAGATTCATAGCTGACATGATGTTGCCTTTTTCATGTCTACTATTTATCTGCAAAGTATCTCAAATTTCAATTCCTGCCGCATTGCTCCTTTACCATTCTAGGAAAAAGGCAGTTCCATTTATCCTGTTGCTCAGAACCTTGACCCTTGATGCTGTTGTTTCCGTTCCACCATTGTCAACAGAGCTATTGGCTCCACTGTTACATATAGAGTCAAAGCATTTTTCCTTCCAGTTTCAGCCTCATGCTTTCTGTCTTGCTAAACGCTGGGGAACCAGCTCCTCGCCCTCTCTCCATGTGTACTTTTTCCTCCTTCATACTGAAATTGGAGTGATTCTTTCAAAATATATTCAGTTACACTGGTCCTCTGCTCAGAATTCTCAAATGGTAAGCTACCTACATTAATTGTTGTCTTAGCATTACTGTCAATAAGGACTGGCTTACAGTTTGAGTGCACCAGCCATCATGGTGGAGAAGGTGTGGCCTCAGGAGCAGGAGTCTGTACCCACAGTCAGGAGGCAGAGAGATGAGGGCTTCTGCTTGGCTCACTCTGCCTTGTTTCTTTTTATTCAGCATGGAATCCAAGCCCATGGGGCAGTGCCACCACATTCAAGGCCAATTACACTTCTCTGGGAACACCGTCATAAACCTATCAGAGGCGTATCTCCTAGGCAGTCTAAACCCAGACAAGTTGATAACAGAGACTGTTTTACCATCCTACCCAAAATAAATTCTGTAATCCTTATCATGGCCTACAACACTTAATAACTGAACTCTAAAGAGAGTAAAATCTGGGGCTGGAGAGATGGCCCATCAGTTAAGAGCACTGGCTGCTCTTCTAGAGGATCTGGGTTTAATTTTCAGCACCCACGTGGCAGCTCACAAGTGTCTGTAATTCCAGTTCCAGGGGGACGAACACCCTCACATAGACATATATACAGGCAAAACACCAGTATACAGTTAAATATATATATATATAGAGAGAGAGAGTGAGTGAAATCTGTTGCCTTAAGTGATATGGCTTATATAAATCAGAATTAGGTTTCAAACCCAAGGTATTTTTTGTTTTTTCTTTTTTTGTCACATTTTTTGAAGCCTTTCTGTCTTTCTTCTTTTTCTCTTCTTTTTCTATTTTAATATATTTTCCCATCATTATTTATCTGCTACTTGATAAACACCTGCAGTGATACCAAAGTATTTTATATCTTAACTCTAACTTTCACAAAAATATTACAGAACAAATATAGATGCCATCATTTCACAAAATAGGGAGTTGACTCAGTTTAAGATAGATTTTAGTCCTGTGAGATTGCCTATTATACCTGTAATTTAGCAATGAAATACCTGAGTTACAGTGGCATCATACATCTTGCCTAATGTCACAGTTTAGAAATGTTCAGTCAGCATTTCATCACAGATTGTTCCTCAACCTGTACCGCAGTTTAGTTTCAAAGCTTCTCGGAATGCAGAAGCTAGAATGCTCCAGTTACCGAGTCAGCTGGACCAGAGCCATCTAATTCTCCTGTTCTCCACTTCCCTGTGCAATAGCTCTCACTGCTGGCCCCATCCCTCTCATATTGCAATGCTTGATGTGTATTTCACCAGTGACTCTCACCCCTTCCCATCCCATCTCTTTTTGGCTGCAGTGGTTTTTAAATGCATGCTTAATCATTTCACTCCTGTGCTTAAAATCTTCCTGGAATGTTCCCTTGCCTACACCGGGTAAAAATAAAGAGTACAGCTTATGGGATTCTTCATGACTTGGCTCTAGAACACCTCTCCAGCCTTAATTTTTCTCCCTGTCCTCTTACCTCCTACTAAAGTTCCACTCATATGCTGTCGCTTGCTATTTCCCAAACACTTTTTCATACTTCTGCCTGAATTCTTTTCCTGTCATGCTATTTAGTTAAAATCAGTTCCCTTCCTCTCCTGTTCCCTCCTTCTCCTCTTCTTGGTTCTTCTTTGTAGTATTAGGGGGTCCAACCCAAGACTTTGGACATGCTAGACAACCACTGGCTATACTCCAGCTATAATCACTTTTTTTTTTCTTTTTAATAAACAGCCTTTGCCTCAAGTTTATTTGTGAAAACAGCACAGGGTATTGAGCATCTGCAAATAGTGTGTAGGTGTGTCACACCAGTCCATCTGTCTTCACATTGGCAGATGGAAGCCTTTCCTGGGCCTGGGCACCTTTGTGAGCCTGAGCTGGAGCTGAAGCCTCGGTCTCTGACTTGGTTTGAACCTTGGGCTTTGGTTGACAGGGCCGACAATCCTTGGCTATATAGCTTTGAATCCACTTCTCAAACTTGGGGTGAGCAATGAAAGCAAGACATCTGAGGCCCTTCAGCATCTTTGGCTTAACTGCATTGGGCTTCACAAGAGCCGCACTGGCCTCTGCACAGGCACTTCTCATTGCCCCCGCATCACCTGTCTGCGTTTTCAGGCCTTCCGTGCTGTGCATCTGGGCAACGGCCATGTTCTTCAGGGATTTGGGGTTGACTTCCTTAAGACATTCATATTTTTGAGACTGGGTGTCATTTTTGAGGTTGGTTGTGTATGGTGTGGTTCTTGGACTAGGCCATGTCTGCACATTATCCGTTGCTTCCCAAAGTACCTGAAAGTGGAAGAAAAAAAAAATTTTTAATTTACATGTATGAGTAGTTTGCCTGCGTGTGTATAGTGTACCATGTGCATCCATGTTGCCCAGGGAGGCCAGAAAAAGGGCACTGGATCCTCTGGAACTGGACATACAGACGGTTGGGAGCTGCTATGTGAGTGCTAGGAACTGAGCCTGGGTCCTTTGCAAGACAAGTGCTCTTAACCCCCGAGTCATCTCTCCATCTCCCAGTTTTAGACTCAGTTTAAATTGTTCATTTTCCCCATTTATGCCTACCTGCTTGAAGAGAGCACATCTCCATTTGACTCTTGTACATGTTTCTGTTCTGGATCAGTGCTATCCCACGACTCTCATTTGTTTATTTATCATCCCATGTAGACCTCATAAGAGATACTGTATTTAGCTTGCATCCTCAGAACCACCTTATCTGATATATAGTAAGTGCTTAATAGTGTTTGTGGGAGGAGAGAGTAAGGAAGTACCTACTGTTCATGTATCCTAAGATAGAGCATAAAGGCTACAGTAATTTTACAAGGAAGTGTGAATATCTAATTATACTCAATGTACTTTCCTCTCTCTTTTTAGATTCAGAGTTTTAGGAGAGAATCCCATTTATTCTGCAGGTAAGTGATTATGTCTTGGTATGGTCTCCTTTCTGTACATGACCCTGTAGCTCTCTACAGTGATTTTGTCCAGACTGCTGAATGTATCTTTTAGGAAGGAGACAGAGGATAGATCCTTCCTTATATAGCTAGAACCATGGATAAGAACGTGAAGTGGTTAGAGCAAGAGCCCTGTAGTAAGTTTGTATCCCATCTCTACCATCTCTTTCTTTGGTAATTACTTGCTTGCTTGTCTGTTATTTTGAGACAGAGCCTTACTGCTCTTGGTTGGACTTAAAGTTAGAGATCCTCTTCTCAGGCTTCAGGTGCTAAGATTAAAGGCATGCCCCATGCCTGGCACTTGTTCCATGACTTTTGACTATTTCTCTGGAGTTTAGTTTCCTCAATTTAAAAAAAAAAATGAAGATAATTTTGGGGCTGAAGAGATGGCTCAGCAGTTAAGAGCGCTGGTGCTCTTCCAAAGGAGCCAGGTTCAATTCCCAGCACCACATGGCAGCTCACAACTGTCTATAACTCCTGTTCCAGTGGATCCGACTCCCTCACACAGACATACATGCAGGACAAACACCAATACACATTAAATAAAAATAAATAAAAATTTTTTAAGATGAGGATAATTCTGCTATAAGTTGTAATGAGTTATTTGAAAATTTAATGAAATAAAACAATATAAGCAGTTATATATATATATATATATATATATATATATATATATATATATATATCCTGCTTTCCTGGTTATTATAACATTGCTACTGTCTCAAACCTGTTTTTCAAGTTCACCCTCCACCAGGCTAAGGCTTTCTCAGCCTTTTATCCAAAACAAGTGTCCGTCCAGTTTCATTAACTCCATTTCTTTGAGTCAGTGTCTTGGCTTGCTTGCATTATCTATCATGACAAAATTCAAAGCTGTTTATGGAGGTCTCTGTGACCATATGGGCTGTCAGAGTAATGGTCTGAATGAGGCAAGAAAGAAGTCTGGTTAAACAGGACTCAGTAGCTGGTGTGGGTTCAAACTTCTAGACTCTTGACTTGGGGCAGTTTATTTTAGGCCATTTATGGACACTACAATTTGGGGGGGAAAGTTTCCTGGTGTAACAACAACCCCAGGCACACAAGGAGGCATAATTAATCAAAACTCTTCTCAAAGTACATGTCACTTCTTCCATGCTAGGCTGCATGTGTTATCTTAAGGGCCTAGGGAAGGGGCTTAAGGGGTGGTCTGGGCCGCACAGGCAGCACAGAGGTCTGTTAGCTCCTCTGGTCCTGCCTGGGTGAGCTCTGTATGGCCTGGCCCTTCAGACAGCACAGGGTCACCTAGGTCACTAGCCACCTCCATTCCCAGCCTTCTGGGCGGGCAGCAAGTTCTAGATCTTTTCCTTTGAGACAACCCTGCGTGTCTAACATTTCTGGTTTCCCTAGTGCTATCTGTTAGTGCAAAGAGCTTTGTGCTCCCGGCAGCTGTGTGACATGTAATTAACAAGCAGCAGAGATAAAGGAGTAAGGAAAGAAAGAAACGTGGACTTTCAGGGTGCAATATGGTATGGAAGAGGCTTTAGCAAGGTCGTCATTAGAAGGGTCGCAGGAGTGGGTAGGCACTGCTTGGTCCTGCGTCCAAAGTGTCCCCAAACCCCAGCTTCTTTGTATGTATTTTTCTGTGCGTGTGTATGTATTTGTGCCAGGTGTACATTCTGAAAGTTGACGTTAGCTGTTTTCCTCTATTTGTATACACTTTTGAGATAGTGTCACTCATTTAACCTGGAGTTGAGTGAGTTCAGCAAGGTTAGCAAGTTATGTGGACACTAGCCACCTGAACTCAGGTCTTCATGCTCACAAGACAAGCACTCTTGACAGAGCTGTTGCCCCAACCTGAAAATGTGATCATTGTGTTGGGGCTAGAGAGATGGTGAAGAATGTGTGCTGCTCTTTCAGGGGACCTGAGCTCAGTACTGCAGCTCATGATAGGATCTCTGTGGCTCAACATTACAGAAGACGTTTGAGACTAAATCAAGAAAAAGTTGTCAAGAGGTAAATTTATTAGTTATTTTGAACGATAAAAAATTACAGAAAGTTTAAAAGGTCATACTTCAGTCAGGTACACTGGTGTGACTTGACATGCCTGTTATCTCAGTACTGGAGATCCAGAGTTCATCCAGGTCTACATACTTGGCTTAAAAAAAAAAGGAAAGAAAGAAGAACTTTAAATGTTTGCAGCACTTTATTGTCATTATTAATATTATTATGCACACTAAGTATAGCTGTATTAAGGAAAAGTGAGAAAGAACTTCCAAGAGGGCCATTGGGACCATTGGAACTGGAGTTACAGATGGTTGTGAGCTGCCATGTGGGTGCTGGGAATTGGATCTGAGTCCTCTGGAAGAGCAGCCAGCGCTCTTAACTGTGGAGTCATCTCTCCAGCCCTATAGAAGCTTTTAATAGACAAATTAGCACTTTTCTATTTCATATGCTTTGTGTGGTTTTCCAGTCAACTGTGCCATGGCTTTTTAAAAGATTTATTTATTTATAAATATGAGTATTCTATTTTCATATATGCCTATATGAGAGAAGAAGGCATTAGATCCCATTATAGATGGTCATAAGCCACCATGTGGTTGCTGGGAATTGAACTCAGGACCTCTGGAAAAGCAACCAGTGCTCTTAACCACTGATCCATCTCTCCAGCCCCCATGACTTTGTTTTTTGATAACCAGAAGTTTTCCATTTTCACATAGGTAAATTTATTAATCTTTGACTTCTAAATTTTGTTTCATACTTAGTAAGATTTCTTCTATCCTAAGATTTGTTTGATACAAAGGCTAGCCTCTAACTTGTTATGTAGCCCAGGCTGACCCTAAACTTTAAGAGGTTTTTGTGGGAGTGCTGACGAGATGGCTCAGAGGTTAAGAACACTAGGTGTTCTTCTAAGGTCCTGAGTTCAATTCCCAGCAACCACATGGTGACTCATAACCATCTATAGTGAGATCTGGTGTTCTCTTCTGGCATGCAGGTGTACATGCAGGGAGAACAATGGATAAAAAATAAATTAAATAAAAATAAAAATAAAAGAGAGCCCTTGTGCCTCAGCCTCCTTGTGCTGGAATTATAGGTGTCCATCATAACACCTGGCAGACAGAATGATGATGAAATTTATCTTTCATTTTGGGGCTGGAGATGTAGCTCAATTGGCACAGTGCTTGCTTAGCATACACAAAGCCCTCGATTCAATCCCCAGCATCTTATGAACCAGTCATTGAGGTACATGCCTGTAATACCACCGCTTCGTAGATGGAGCCAGGAGGATCAAACATTGAAGATCATTCTTTGCTACATAAACTAATTCCAGGACAACTCAGGCTGTGTCAGTTTCAAAATTACATTATAATGATGTTCAGAAGAACAGGGAGCAGTGCTCTGTTTCTACCCCATTTACTTACTCAATATATGGACTGTGGGTACCATTTCAGCTGCCTCTGTCCAAGGAAAGGCCTGCTTATGATCATGGCCTTTCTGTTATTTATTTGGACATAGTAGATCAAAGTAAATGTATAAAAAGAGGGCTAATGAAGGGAGCTCAGAGTGCTCAGACCACAGCATGAGCAAAAGGTAGAAAGAAGCATTGCGGGAAGGACAAAAAGTATGTTAACAAAACAAAGTGGGCAGCTGCCAGGAACAAATCATTGCAGACCAGTTTACTAGAATGTTTGGGAAGCCATTTTTGTTTTGTTTTTAATATCTATTGAGGGTATATTGTTTGCAGGTGCTGGCATTCTCTATCCTAGAAGACCTGAGTCTGTCGAGTGGAGAGAATATCCTATAATCAGACTCTTGGCCAGTGCTGTTCCAGTTTCATCCCCTTTCCCTACCTGCATGGCTCTGCTGAAATGCTTGTTCCAATTTCTAAAGAGAAATAATTAAAAAAGTTGTTTATTCTTAGCCTAGAATGACGGCTTTGGTTCTCCTGTTAGTAAACCAAAATTCTGAAGGACAGTTGTGAGTGGCACAGGGGAGAAGTAAGTCAGTATGGGTTCACATCTTACAGCTTTGATAGCTGAATGATTTTGAATCTGAAACAAGGGAGTTTGTGTCTTTGTCAGTGAAGAGTGGCCTTTCCTCCCAGGAGGCTGGGATGTTACTGAAACAGCAGGACATCCAGCCTAATGACACAAAGGAGAGGGAAAGAAGCAATTGGATTTGCTGGGAATAAGAGGCTTTCAAACTTGCACATTTTACAATAAAAACAACTGGCTAATTAAACAGCTTAACCACTGACAATTTGACTCAAACCTTTCATTTAAGGGGGAAATGGTTAATTTGGTTAATTTAACAGTAGTTTGAACTAGCTTTTTAATTATCAGCAGCTCTAATTATAGGAATTGCCCCAAACTGAATTTAAGAGTGTCTCCTTGCCAAGGAATTCCTGCAGATGAGAGACTGAGGCAACCATTTGCTGCCCTTGCAACTTGGGCTGTATCATCATCTCAAAGACCAGTTTCCTTTCTTCTTTTTGAAGCCACTGATAGAAGATTGCCTGTGTACTTAAGCATGGTGATTGACATCTGAGCTTTTAATTAACACATAATATTTTATTATACAGTTTAGGCAGGCAAAAGAGAGCACTAATTCTAAAGCTGAACACTTGATCTTTGTCTGTTTAGGGGTACGGAAGAATGACACCAAGATGAGGGGGACAGCCCTCCAAGGCACCAAAGACATGACAACTACATGTTCTGTAGACTGGCCAGTAGATCCTACAGAATAGGAAGGAAGATAAAGTAATTGGATCTGCCTTATAAAGTCAAGGTCCTTAAAATGCTTAGCTAAGAAACCTCATCTCTGGGCCATAAAAAGCCACCAAACATTGAAAAATATGGCAAAACCCCTTTTCTGCCTCATTCAGTGCTGACCTTAGTTTCAGGCCAATAGTGAATTCTTCCAAAAATTGCATGTGTAAAATGGATAAATGCTTGAATTGATGAGAAAGAATGATGATTAGAAATTTTCTGTAGAAGGACTGTTCTGTGGCTGTAGATGGTGGGGTAGGGGTGTGAGAGGGTGTAGAAAGACCAGGAACAGCAACAGCTTTCCTTCTAGTCCCCTAATGCTCTGTCTGTACTCCTCCCCCTCCCTCCACACAGCAACCAAAATAATCTTTTAACAACATGACAGGGGGCTGGAACAATGATCGGAAGTTAAGAGCACTTGCTGCTTTTGCAGAGAACCTGGGTTCAGCTTCCAGCTTCCATATGTTGGCTCACAACATAACCTGTATTAGTTAATTTTTGCATTGCTCCATGCAGACACCCAGCAAAAAGCAACTTAAGGGAGGCAGGGTTTGCTTTGTCTCACGGTTGGAGGGTACATGGTCTGTCATGGTGGCGAAAGCAAGGTGGCAGGAGCAGGAAGCATCTGGTCACGTTGTTCCACAGTCGGGAAGCCGAGAGAGGAATGTTGGTGCTCCGCCAGTTTTATCTTGTTTTGTGTTGCCTCCAACCCAGTCCATGGAATGGTACCGCCCGCATTTACTGTGGGTCTTTCCACCTCTGTAGACCCAACCTAGACAGTCGCTCACAGACATGCTCAGAGGCTTCTCTTCTTAGTAGTTCCAACTCTGTCAAGTTGATAGCTAATACTAACCACCACACTGCCATTTTATTTTTATTTATGAGTAAAGATAACAATGACAACTAAAAGAGACTGGAGAGAAACCCAAAAACATACCTGTGTGTGTGTGCGTGTGTGTTGAAAGCAAGATAAGTCTTCCTCCTGAGCCCACTGCAATATGTATGTGTATAGAGCCCCTGCTTTTTCTTGGTTGTGACATGTATCCCTGTACCTAGATTGGGAGGAGGGTGTTCACTTAAAATATGTATTGACTATTGTGCTGTAAGCACAAATAGATCACATTGTATCTTTCATTTATTTCTTTGTGTAGCTGGGCTCAGGCTTGAGTTGGGTGCATTGGGCAAGCAGTGAGCTGCTTAACTGCATACAGTATTCCACAATTCTTAAGAGTTTATAGACTTCGGGGCGGGGGCGGGGGTGCACACCTTTAATCCCAGCCCTCGGGAGGCAGAGACAGGTGGATGTCTGTGAGTTCAAGGCCAACCTGGTCTACAAAGTGATTTCCAGGACACCCAGGGCTACACAGAGAAACCTGTCTTAAAAAGCAAAAACAAAAACAAAGTTTATAGAAATTCCCAATCCTTTATTTTTTTGCTTACTGTTTTTGCCACTTGCTTCCTTCTCTCCATATTCTCCATCAGAAAACCTCAAAAGGACTAGACATGGTGTCTTATACCTGTAATCTCAGCACTTGGATGGCTAAAGTAGGAGGAGTGCTATGAGTTTTAGGCCAGCTTGGAGTATAGAGTGAGTTCCAGCTTGGGCTATAGAGTGAGACCCTGTCTTAAAAAGAACATTTATTAATTTTGTGGGGTTTTTTTTTTTTGGGGGGGGTGCTTTTATTTGGTTGGGTTTTGTTTGTTTGTTTGTTCGTATAATGTTCTTTTAAAATGTATACACTTTACCCTGTTCATTCAAATGCTAATTTCTCTCCCCCACTTTCGGGTTTCAATCCCGACATGGCATTGTGATACTTATTCTAAGCATCACCTGTCTCAACTTTGGGTAAACAGGCCAAAATAAAGCAACTGCCACAATGTTAAGCAAGGAAAAGGAAGCAGGAAGAGAGGGAGGAGCCAGAGGACAGGAAGGTGGGAGGCAGAGGAGAGCTGGGAGAGCAGAGGAGACAGATCTTGGAATGACGTGGAGAGATGGACTGGACCTAATATATCACTAAAAGCAAGTATAATGTGGGAAATCTAAATGTTAGGAAACTATGAGGGCTTGGAGGTTTAGGATGAAGTAACTATTGCCCAGCATTGTGTTCTAGGTTAATTAAATAAATCCCAGTCTCTGTGTGGTGATTTGGTTATACAGCTTTTTAGGATTAACAGCAGCTTTAATAAAGATAAAACAATAGTAAATATTAATCGTCACCTACAACATTTGTTTTTTATTTATTTTTTTATTTTATTTTATTTTATTTTTTGAGACAGAGTTTCTCTGTGTAGCCCTGGCTATCCTGGAACTTGGTCTGTAGACCAGCCTGGCCTTGAGTTCAGAGATCAGCCTTCCTCTGCCTCCCAAGTGTTGGGATTAAAGGTATATGCCAACCCTGCCCCACTAAAAAGAACATTTATGAATTTATGGTCTGTGGTGTGTGTGCACATATGGAGGACAGAAGACAGCTTATAAGAGTCATTCTCTCCTACCCATGGGTGCTGCAGTGGGAACTCAGGTCATCAGGCTTGGCAACAGTGCCCTTACCTGTTGAACCATCACAGTGTCCCTCAAAACAAACAAAGGGCAACAACAAAACTCAACCAAAACAAGAAAGAAAAATGTCTAAATAATGTTGCTTGTTGAGGAGCAAGATGAAGCGAGAACCTCATTAAAATATATTTGTCCCCCTGACCATCATTGACTTTTTGTTTGTTTGTTTGTTTGAGACAAAGTTTCTCTGTGCATCCTTGACTGTCCTGGACTCGCTGGCCTTGAACCCACAGAGATCTGCCTCCTGCCTTCCTGAGTGCTGGGATTACAGGCGTGTGCCACTACACCTGGCTTACCATTCACTTTTTTTTAGGAGAGAATTTATTCAATGAAAGAAGAGTGGTTGGGGCTGAAGATATTTCAGGAGCTAAGGAGGGAAACATGGGAATAACCAAGAACTACCTCTATACATATGATCTGTCTGTTTCTGGATTTGTCTTGTGTTCTTTTAGGTGGTGTTCTGAGGAGCAGTCGACACTACAAGACAAAGCCCACGCATGGCATTGGAAGATACAAACACTTGGTGAAAGTGCTAGAGGTAAGAGGCAAGGCGGGTCCTTTGTGAAAGGATGATGTCAGGGGCGGGTGCAAAGATAGGATGATCATGTGTACACAGGCGGGTCACAGTAGAGCTGTACAGGATAGATTTGGTTCTCTGTCGTCTCCAGTTATTTAGTCTGGAATCATGCAGGCTGGAGGTAGTCCTCCCAGCTTCTGATCTTGCTCGTTGGCTAGATTATCAGCAAAACCCCAATTGCTAAGTTTTTAGTATTTATGATATTTTTTAGAGACAAAATCTTCTTAGCAATTAGTTCAGCATAGACTTCAGAGTAGAAGTTATAACATTAATTATAACATTAGTTAAGAGGCTGGAGAGATTTCTCAGCAGTTAAGAGCATGTACTGCTCTTAGCTCTATAGCCCAGGCTGGCCTTGAACTTAGAGATCCACCAGCCTCTGCCTCCCAAGTGCTGGGATTAAAGGTATGTGCCATCACTGCCCATCTGCATGGACTGCTGTTGTAGAGTGCCCAAGTTTGCTTTCCCAAACCCCTATCAGGTGGCTCATAGGTAACTCCAGCTCCAGAGGAGTAGCAATGCTTGAGGTCTCTGGGTATCTGTAATCAAGTGCACGTAAACACACACACACACATACACACACACACACACACACACACTTAAAATAAAAACTTACATTAACGTTAGTTGAATGAATGGTGTGTGGAAAGTGAGAGATGGATTGCTAGCCGGTGTTTAGAGTGTTGGCAGTTGTAAATATTTCTGTGGCCCTTGGATCTTTGCAAGTGATAACTGGGAGGCATCACCAGACATCAGTCAGGCATCTCACCTGTTTCTTGGGCCCGGATGCTTGATAGCTTCTGCGGGTGGTTAAATTTCTCTCCGTGTGAGAGGCTTTGGCTGGGAGTCTTGAGTCGCTGGCTTCCTGTGGGCAGTACAATGGAGAAGAGTTTACTGGTCTCGTTAGGGTCTTCAACAGCTTTTGCTTCTTTGCTTTACTTTAGTTCTCCGCTACAACTGTATACCTGCTATTGCTTCTCTCTCTAAGGCACAGTGCAGACCACTGCATTTGGACCTCAAAGCTGCTAAACTTGCCATCAAAGAATTGTATAGGAAGAACATTCGCTCTTGAGACCTGTGTCAGGCAGGCTCCTCACAGGAAACATGCTCAGGGTTGGGTCTGGTTGGGTCTGCTGTGTTGAAGCTTTGTGACCCTAGGTAAATTAGCCTCATCTTTCCAGGCCTGGTGGGCCCAGAAATGATATGCAAAGAGTTGCCAGCTGAGTCCACAGCTTTTACCTGAGTTGTCACCCCACTGCTATGGGTCAGACCCAGGGCCCTACGTGTGGCAGACAGGTGTGCTACCACCAAGGCGCATCCCTAGCCCTTGGCATTTGTCAGACTCAGGGTTAAGAAACGTTGGCTCTGAATAGCTCAACAGTGTTTTAATTCAGATGTCATGAAGCTTTGAACAGACACCCAGTGTGTAATATGCCTGTTGATGTCTTGCCTATTTAAAATTGGTAAGAAAACAATTTCTTTTCTTTTTTTAATGTCCATTGGTGTTCTGGTGTATGTGTGTATGTATGTCTGTGTACGGTTGTCAGTTCCCCTGGAACTGGAGTTACACACAGGTGTGAGCTCTCATGTAGGTGTGGGAATTGAACCCAGTTTTTTTGGAAGAATAGCCAGTGCTCTTTTTTTTTATTTTTTTATTAAAAATTTTTTTTTTATTAATTACAGTTTATTCACTTTGTATCCTGGCTGTAGCCCCTCTCTCCTCCCCTCCCAATCCCTCCCTCCCTCCCTCCCTCCGTCCCTCATCTCCTCCCATGCCCCTTTCCAAGTCCACTGATAGTGGAGGTCCTCCTCCCCTTCCATCTGACCCTAGCCTATCAGGTCTCATCAGGACTGGCTGCATTGTCTTCCTCTGTGGCCTGGTAAGGCTGCTTCCCCATCAGGGGGAAGTGATTAAAGAGTTAGCCACTGAGTTCATGTCAGAGACAGTTCCTGTTCCCATTACCAGGGAACCCACTTGGGCACTGAGCTGCCTTGGGCTACATCTGAGGGGTTCTAGGTAATCTCCATGTATGGCTCGTGGTTGGAGTATCAGTCTCAGAAAAGACCCCTGTGCCCAAATTTTTTATTTCTGTTGCTCTTTGTGGAGCTCCCCTTCAGGTCTTTCTATTTTCCCCTTCTTTCATAAGATTCCCTGTACTCTGCCCAAAGTTTGGCTATGAGTCTTCAGCATCTGCTTTGATATCTTGCTGGGTAGAGTCTTTCAGCAGCCCTCTGTTGTAGGCTTCTGTCCTGTTCCCTGTTTTCTCCTTCTTCCTATGTTTGTCCCAGGGCTCTTAATTGCTGAGCCATCTCTCAAGCATGGAAAACAATTTCTTAATGTTTATGTTTGCATGTATTAATTATACATAACAGTATTTTTTGTTTTGTTTTTGTCTTTGAGACAGGATCTCTCTACATAGCCCTAGTTGTCTTGGAACTCACGATGTAGACCAGGCTGGGCTTGAACTCTCAGAGATCTTCATGCCTCTGCCTGAGTGCTGGGATTAAAGGTGCGCACCACCAAGCCCAGCCATAAGATTTTTATGCATGTACATAATGTGTTTCAGTCATATGCACCCCCTTGTTACCCTCTTATTCCTCTTTACTCTACAGTTCCTACTTTCTGGGTGTGTGTGTGTGTGTGTGTGTGTCATAAAAGTAGTTGACAGGAGCATGAGTACCTGGGTAGTGTCTATAGTACTGAAGAAAATGTCTCTCCTGTCTCCATCAACAAACTGTATATAAGTATGTAGGGTGAGGGGCTTTCCATAACAGGTGTGGACAGGCCTGGTCTTGTGCGGGTAACCACAGCTTCTGGCTTCAGGAATGCAAAAGCCACATCATGCCCAGAAGTCAACATTCTTCCCACTTTCTTCAGGCTCTTACCTCTCCACCCTTTCTTCTGTGATGTCCCCTAAACCTTGGAGGGGTCATATAGATGTCCCATTATGACTGGGCATTCAGTGGTCATTTAAAATTCTTAGTGCTTTGGCTAGGCAGGAGTTTCTGTAGTCACAGTGACCCCTGCAAAGAGAAGCTTCTCTGGCCCAGGCTGATGGCAGCACTAATTCCCGATGTTAACATTGCTACTCAGAAGGCAAGGTGATAAGACATGTGTTGTTTGACAGGACAATAGCAGCAGCTTCCTCAGTAGGGGCTATGAGCTCCCCAGCCGTGGACTTTTGCCTAGGTTTACAGGATCAGAAGGATAATTTTTGCAGAAAGATGAATAGGACCTGGTTTATGCCCACAGGGTATAGCTATCAGAGGTGAACTATCGGAGACACTGTGCTCGGGGGACAGTGCTGAGAGGAGGATGTGACTGTTTTAGAACACAGAGTGACTTCCACTCTTTTGAGTTGTGGCACCTTAGAGTATATTTTGGGGTTTTATTTTAGTACGTTCCCTTTTTAAAAATGTCCTCGTTCTAAAAGCTCCATACAAATTAGTAGGAAAAAGAATTAATTTTGTTTGGGTGGAGCTCAGGGTAGCTTTTTTGTTTTTCCTGTTCCTTGGGCTCTTTCCTCTATGGTAATTTTCTGCATCTGCCTCATGCTGACCAGCCCCATAGCTTGATCAAAAAGGAAACTGAGTGCTGTCTGTCCCTATCCCTCACTCTGGCTTCAGCTCTCACCTTCTGAGTCCCCTGACTTCCTACATTGTATCTCTTGCTTTTCATGCACATTTGCCTGTTTCAAGGCCTCTTCTGTGCTGCTCCCCTTTGTCACTTAAAAAACTTTTCAACCCCCAACCCCCCCCCCTTTTTTTTTTTTTAGCTTACGATTCTCCTGTTGTAGGCCTGGGGCTGGGATTACAGCCATGCACCACCACCCTGTGGCTCTCTTCAACCTTTAAATGGGGACAGAATGAACATTCCTCTGAGAAACCTTGGATTTCCTGCATGGAGTTATTTGTTCTCCTATGAGCTATCAAAGTCCTGTGTCCTAGGACTGACTGACTGGGACTGTCTGCTTTGATGGCTACCTCTTCTTCTAGATTTGGAGATTCCTAAGGGTAGATGACATGTACCTCTTTTCTTTGTATCCTCAGTGTCCAGCATAGGACCCGGCATCAAGCAGGGACAATAAATATTGATCCAACTGAGTTGAAATGTGGTTATTGGAGCTGCCCCTCAGGGCTTTGTAAAGCAGAGGTGGCAGACACCCGACAGCTGCAGGCAGCTAGCTCCTGATGACCCTGGTTGTTTGGAGGGAGTAATGCTCCTAGGATCGGGGCTGTGGGCCCTCTGATAGTATTTGCCCCACCATGGCTAGTCCCAGCACAGTAGCTGGATGGTGGTGATAGCTGCCCCAGGAGCCTGTTCTTCAGGACAGTACAATGAAAGCTCTCATTTATAGCTTACAGAGGCTCCATCCCACTGGCTTGTCACTTTTCACCCCTCTGGAGACCTGGCCCAGATAAACTAGATAAACTGTGTAGTCTTCTTGAAATCTCAAGGCAAGAAAACAAACAAACACAACAAAAATAGTAAGTAACCAGGTTCCTTTTTTTTTTCCTTTCCTTTCTCGTTCTCTTAGAGTTTGATGTCCTGAGGAGATGTTAGTCAATTCTCAAGATCAAAGTGCCTTTTTCTACTGATGTTCTCCCTTCCCTCCTTCCAAATGCACTACTCAGTCTTCTGAGGGTTTTTGTTTTTTGTTTTTTTTTTTTTTTCAAGGGAGGGTTGTTTGTTTGTTTGTTTTGAGACAGGATCTGACTGTCTGGTCTGGAACTTACAGAGAGCCACCTGCCTCCTCTGCCTCTTGAACGTTGGCGTTAAAGGAGTTTGCCACCATGCCAGCCACCTTCTGACTTTTGAACCTTGGAAAAAAGAGGCATCTGATTCACCTCTTCTTGTCAATGCTACTTGGCTTTCTTGCTTGGCTTCATGTATAACTCTTCACTTGTTTCCCATCTGTGAAATCATGTGTCCTTGTCCCTGAGGAGGTAATGAGGGGAGG